ATTCTCAAAATATGCTTTAGTTCAACCACATGTATTTAATTGAGGGGAAAATTAAGATACAGAGAGCCTGAGGGCAGTGTTATACCAGAGGTGAGGCTTATTATACCATTCATTCATAAAATATGACTTCAGTGTTAGTTATCTACTCAGTCCTCTTGCCAATGCATGTTTATCTTCTGCTGTTGCTGCCACTTTAGAAATAGGCTGAGAACAGAAACAAAGGTTAAATCAGTATGTCACAGCCTTTTTAAAAGTAACCTCTGCTTTTAGTGCTGCTTTGCAAAAATCTCACTACTTGAAAATATTATAGCCTATGAACTCGTTGTATGATAGGGAGATCATTAAATCTCATATCTGTTTGCTTTTGCGTTTTCAGTGTTTGGGTTTTTTTGCTCTTTTTTTCCCTTCCCTAGTACAGCTATATCAATATTTTTAAAGATTACTGAAGTGAATGGAGTAAAACCAAAATATTCTTTTTCTTTTCCATGTACGTTTTCGTTGATAGCAGGTTTGTCTCAGAGTAATAATTTCACCATTCTACTATTAAGTAATAGTTAATCTTTATAAGGCAGATATGTAACAAAGTGAAAAAGACTCTGACAAGCCAGTAGAGCTCCAGAGAAATGTGTTTGAAAGTATGCAAGTTTTCTGAGCTGGGGATTTGCTAAAGCTTACTGTAAAGACTGCCTTTAAGAATATTTGTAAGAGTTTCCCTTTAAATCAAGTAATCTTGCCCTAATGCACTCCTCATTTGTTATAACCCTCTGGCTGGTTTCAGCACGTTAAACTGGACTGCAGTATTTGCTGAGCAAAACATCAGAATCCAGATAGACAGATATTCTTTATTATATACATTATGAATGTACATCCAAGCACCAGCCAGCATCCAGCCAACCTGGCAGCTCCTCAGTTGCTCACTTACTTGCTCACCTCCCTGCAGAGGGACAGGATAGAATAGGAAGAACAAAAGCAAGAAAACTTGTGAGTTAAGATAAAGGCAGTTTAAACGATAAAGGAAAGAGGAGGCAGGAAAAGCAATGCTAAAGAAATCAGCCACTCATGTCCCACAAGCAGGCCAGTGTCTAACAAGCCTCCAAGGAGTAGCCATCTTGGAAGTTAGCTTCTTCTTCTACTTCCAGTTTTTACTGCTGAGCATGATGTTACGTGATACAGAGTAGCTGTTTGATCAATTAGGGTTAGCTGCTCTGTGTTCCCCTCCTAGCTTTCTTGGCCACCCTCCCTGGCTGGAGATGATGATGAAGTGGGGAAGAAGAGAAAGCCTTGACCCTTGTGCAAGCACTGTTCAGTAGCAGCTGAAGTATTGCTTTGTTATCCACACAGTTTTAGTCACAAATCCGAACCATAGCACCATATAAGCTGCTGTGAATAAAATTAACTCTATTTCAGCCAGGTCCAGTGCATAGATGAACAGTTTTGGATTAAAAAAAAAAAAAAAAAAAAATTCATAGTGAATCTTTAGAATGTCTTGAACCTCAGTTTAGAGATTAAATGCTCATGTCATACATGGCATTTCATGTTTCAGTCTACTCAAATGTAGAGCCATTCATGGAAGGTATGATCCGAGTGCATTCCCTTTTCCATCTGCAAGCTTACACCTCCTGAGTAAATTGTGATACCCTACAGCTGTAGGGTGGGCTGGATCAACCACTGATGTCATGCAGAAATTATTCACTGAAAGACATAGTTTCATGGTGGCTCCACTGCCTGAACCAACTCATCTTTGGCTGCAGGCTGTCTAGATCTGGTGCAGATGACACAGTAAAGGAGTATGAGTTCAGAGAAAACAAAGAGCTAAGAACCACTTGTAGCAAGCTTTGGTTAGGTGTAATGTGAAACCACATGCTCAGTTTGCACAGGAAGAATGAAAGAAAATACAAAACCATAAAGTGATGTTCTGAAAAGAACTGTAACATTACATATGAGGGATCAGATATTCTGTATTTCTAACACAAATACTTTCTAAAATCAGGGTAATATTTCAGATTAAGAAATTCAAAGATGAACGGAATTTTTGTTACAGCAATTACATGATACGGTTGCACTAATGAAAACAGGCCAAAAATGGTAAAGAATGTGTTGCTTTCATATGAGAGATTAGAGAGAGGTTTTCCTTTTCAAATTCCTGTCAGTAGAATTAGGATATGTTGCAGTATCCTAAGCAGACTTAGGATACGTTGCAGGCCATTTTGCTGAACCTGCTAGCATGAATGCAAATCTTATGTGCTTATTATCTGTTAAGTATATAGGGGTCCATGTTTTGGATGATGTGGTGAAATGCACAGCAGCAGAGCTATGATACTGGTGTGCTGCTAGAAAGTGTGTTTGTGCTTGAGGGTCCTACCTAGCTAACTCCCTGACCACACCACAGAGCTATATAGTATGTCTCCAGCTCTGAGAAACTCCCAAATTGTTCATTGCTAGTTGACGCTGACACAGAGTGTGAGCAAACAGCAAAGATTCTGTGAATGTGTGAAATAGAGGTAGGTGTGTGGCAGTAACCAAATCACCAAGTTCCAGTTACTGTATGTTGGTCTTGACAGGTCTCTGTGAATATTAGCAATGAAGATGAGTCTCTTTTGTTGTAGTCTGAACAAATATCTGTTCGAAAGAAAAACTCTGAAATCAACTGGATAGCCCTACCAGTGATCATGTTTTCTTATTTTATGTCATTTTGGGTTGTAAGTCAAATACCAAAGGTGAAACTGTTGGATGATGTTAACAAAAAAAAATTTGTTAGTGGTTCATAATTTCATGGGTTTCTATCTATTTCAGCATTTCTCTGCAGATTTTAATAATATGCTCTGTTCAGTCTTCTTGTGTTTAAATCTGACTCTATAGATGTAGTAACAAATGGAAATAGATTTTAGAGGCAACACAGAAACTCTTCATTCTGTTTGAACTTCTCCCCACCTTTTTTTTTTTTTCTTTTCATGTGTCCATCTGCTATAGTATCTTTTTTTTTCCCCCATCTGTCTTCTATTTCTGCTTGTGTACATTGTGCGTGTGCATCTATTGGTTTGGTCATATCATAGCATATAATGTGCAGCTTATTTCTACAAATAAAATGAGTGGAATAAAACCCATGAAAATAACCAGGTAATAGCAACAGCAAAGTGTATCAGCATGGCTAACATCCTTCAAGAGTTTCACAACATTTGCAGCCTTTTACATTGAGTTTTATGCCTTCAGATACCTCAAGAAACTTTTAAATATAGTGCTTTTGACTGCTGTCTATGCCAGCACCATATTCAAAATGAGAACTGTGTTGCAGAACATGGGGTCTTTGTGCTTCATAAAGAAAGTAAAATGAAGGGGGTTAGGCAGTTTCCATTCCTCAGTTTTAGCCTGAACAAGGCAGAAAAAGGCCCTGTATTTGGGGAACTGGATGTCAGCAAATAGTGGTAACTTTCAAATGACAGTGCTGTAGAAGGGAATATTTTGTTGACTATTTTCCAAAACAGATTTCTATAGAGATGTGTGTTTGGGGTTTTTTTGTTTGTTTGATTGGGTTTTTTATTGTAGGAGATACAGAATTCATGCTCAAGTCAAGAAAGTTTTGATCTTTTTTCTTTTCTAAAATGGAGTATTTTTTCTTTTTGTTAATTCTTCAATTTATCTTTAAAATTTATAGATCCTTCTTATCCTGCAAATATTCTTCCTGTACACCAACTAGCTTTCAATCTAAGAAAGAATGAATACGGCATTAATTCCTAAAATGAACAGAACTATAGGGAGAAGGTGCATCTCCTTCTTGGATATATCTACATGGAACTTGGAGTTCACATTTTGTATTTGCACTGTGGACTTTAGGAAAACACCTAGAAAAGAAAGGTAAGAAACTGTTAACTTATACTACTCTTTATCATACTGTGCATCCACCCATAATATGCTGAGAATGCATATAGCCTGACCACGCTTAATCCTGTCTACTTTAATACAATTTATATGAAGGGAAAATATTTCCAAATTCATCCACTACTATTTTAGTTCCATTTCTGTGGCTTCAGTACTAACATGTTTAAGAATTTTATTTTTTTTTCCCCTGCTATAGGTTGAAAATACTGATGCAGTTTTTACAGCCTAATAATAGATTTTGATTTGTGGGTTTTTTGTTGTTTGTTTTTATTATTTACCTTTTACTAGCTAGTTTTCTACAGTATCCACCCTGCTATAGTAATTTATAATAGGAGCAGCTCCTGTAGGTAAAAAAGTTTTTCTGCTTTCTCTGGCACCCAGATACATCTCCTGTGGAAAGCAGTCAGTGAGGCATCTCCCTGTTCCACAAAGAGGCTACCAAATGAAAGCATTTCTAAGAGCAGGTTATTGATCTGAGGGGCTTTAGGGTTCGCTTCCAAGAGAAGTGCGAAAGATACGTAAGAGAAGCATGTATGTTGTTACTAGGTTTCAATCTGATTTATAGGGATCCACATTTCTGCCGAAAAAAACACAGAGTGACAGACCAGAGAGGACTGAGAACTTCTGCTTTACTTGTTTCTGCAATAGGCATTCTTTTACGTGGTCAGGTCCTATTTTTCTGCCTTTGACACAACCCACTCCATAGGGGCCGAGTAGATTTCATTCAGTCAGCAACTGTGGCCACCTACTGGGGAAAAAAGAAAAGTAAAAATAAAATAAGGAACAGATTGTACAAAAAAAAAAAAAAAAAAAAAAAAGTAATACACAGGTAGATAGCTGGAAGTACAACAAGCAAGAGTAAAAATTCAGGCCCTAGTTTCCTGTGCCCTGCTATTGCCATGTAATTTTCACAGTACTATACTTTGCTTTTCCTCTGTATAAATAGTTCCCTCTTGTTTCAACAGCTTTATCCTTACCCAGTTACTCCTCTCAACAAGATCAAATTCATCCCTGATTTCTGTTCAAATCTCAATTTAGACTTTACTAGATATTGCACCTGAAAGAGGAATGGTTCACAAGGGAAGACATAACCCATCATTTTATTTTATTAAATGCCAACTGCTTTATTTGGCAGGAGCAGTCTAAACTTTAAGAATAAATATGGTTGAAATATGAAATGAACTGAACATGTTAAGAATGCACAGGAACATCTTTACTTCCCAACTGGTCGTGGATGTTCTCTATTAGCGGGACAGTACGGCCATGTCTACAGCAGAAAAGCACACTAACTTTTGAAGAAGGGCACCGGCATGGCCACAGCTAAATAATAGCTGATGATAACAGCTGTTACTTGAAGAGCATGAAGCTATGTTCACGCATACTAGAAGCTAGCTGATAGTACTACTGATGTGTGCTGTTAGTGCCCCTGACAGCCAGAACAGGTAGTCAGGTACCCTTAGTGCCTGGTGGCCTAGTTATCAGAGAGGAGTTGCTGCCCCAGCCTCTCATTTTCCATTTGTAGGAAAGGGTCCTGAGAATTCAGTTTTAACTTCATTTCCTTCATTTTAAATCCTTATCAAACAAATGTTAGATTGAGAATAAAATGGCAGCAGTTAATTAATTACAGTTAAATTCTGTATGTTTATCTAAAATTGGTTTTGCCATCATAGGGATATAGAGAATGCAGCAGGATGTGATTAAATTCAGATGTTTTGCTGGGTAGAAGGGGCAAGGTTACTAGATGTCACCTGAAAGTCTTTGTAAGAGTTTAGGGGCTTTTAAACAGGGTGAAACTTGTTTAGTCTTACCTGTGCTGTTTTTCCGAAATAATGCACATCTGCTTCTAAAAGACAAACACAGTGCTTTAGGTGCATGATGTGCTGAGGCACTGAACACAAATGTTAAGAGCATTGACTTGTCCTGATATGCGGGTAGTGCTAACAGGCTTCTGTCACCCACCTCTGTGCTGTCATGATGATGGGAGTCTCAGTTTTCTTTAGAGCAGCGGTCTCTGTGAAATACTTTATTAATATCTTCATGCATGTGACAACATTTGTGAAAGGGGATGCATTTTTTGTTAGAGTAATTAATAAAGATTTAGTTTGGTCAGACTTCTGACCTTGTAAGACCTTTCTTTCGTTCAACCCAAATCAAAACCAAGCCACATGTCTGAAAGCTGGTAGATTGTCAAGGACTTTAATTAATTGCCCTAAGAAAAATACTATCTCTGCAGCTGCATCCTAATTACTTTCTTATATCATGAGGGTTACAAAATAGCCTGAGTACAATTTCTCTACATGCTTTCTCTAGGGGCTGCCATAGAGATGGCGGCAAGGCCGGGAGGGGCCGCCCGCCCCACAGGCGCAGTCCCGCCTCCGCTGCCTGCAGGGGGCGCGGTGGCGCCGCTCGCGGCCGTTGCTAAGCGAGCGGGCCAGATGACCTTCACGGCCTCTTGTCGCCATGGAGGGGCAGCTTCGGCCAGTCTACGAGGGGTTCACCGACTTGTTTCCCGAGCTGTCGGTCGTGAGTGCTTTCTCCGAAGGGGGCCCGCCGTTGCCGCGGAGCCGGCTATCTGCTCTCTGCGCCTTTCTGGGCCCGGGGTCTTGCCGGGTCTTCTTCTGAGGGAAGAAGCTGGAGGATGTGGGGCAGGCAGGCTCCTCTCCCTGCGATCTCCTTCTCCTCTTACCTCCCCAATGCATGTAGCTCCTTTTCCTCCCCTTTTTGTCAAAACGGGGATAGTTGGTTAGCATCTTGTGCAAGGTGTAAGATCCCCCTTTGCCTAGTTATGCCTCATTTTTTGATTGTGTTGTTTAGACTGGAAAGTTGCTTTTCACTGGCGATATGGCTGTGGGGTGCCTGACTGAGATTTTACCCAGGGTGAGTTGGTTTTTCAGATGCTTCTTGTGGAACTTTAGTAACTATTTCCCATTAGAGATTGTGTGAAACTGTATTTTTTTTCTATATCCGTTCTCCTTAGAAACTTCTATTTTTTTTCCAATGGTAGTTTTTGTCACATGGGACCCTAGAAAATAGCTGGCAGGATGTCGAACACTTCTGCCAGTTCTTTTTCACTCTGCATGTTTTACAAAATTCATCATGCTTTCTTAGATGGGACTAAGTAGAACTGGTTCACACAGTTTTTCTTTACTAACACTATTCTAATGATTATTACTAGGAATTGTTATTACTTCTGATGAAGGTCCTTCTTTAGAAAGATGCCGCTCAGAATTGTTCTTCCCATATACCTCTGAAGAGTTAGAGGACATTGAGACACAAACGGATCCCTTGAATAACAGCTCTCCCTTTGAATGTGTGGTTAAAATAATTTTTGAAATTGCTTCATTGATGGTGAAATCAGGTTAAAAGTTTCTGAAGTTATTAAATGCAATGTAAATGAAGTTTCATGAAGTACACATGAAGAAGAGGTTATCCTTTTTAGAGATGGAACCTGATAGTTGAAACTTAGCAACTCTCATTATTTCTATTGCTGGTTGGATAAAATTTCGGCTGGACTATGTTGACCATATGATCAGAAGATCAGCATCTGTAGGAACATATGCGTGTGTTACAGCCCTAAAACATCCTCATATTTTCTTCTTACCTTGGCAGAATCACACTGAAATAGCTGCAGTACATTCTCTTTAATATACTGTGAATATCTGGTGTAAAATTGTTTTTGCTTTGCTTTGCTTTATATATAGCCCATTACTCCACCTACTCTGCAAAAGTTTCAAAATACAAATCCAGTTCCTGGTGCTGAAAGAGTATTCTATGGCAAAGCAGATGATCCTGACATTGCATCTCACTTGAAAGTTGGTGTAGAGTCACTTCCTTCACACAGTGTAAGAATGTGACTTTTTTACTGTTGTTTAGGAACGGACAGCTTAGGAATGCCCTTAATAAGAGCAACTGATTTCTTCATAGTCAGGGATATTGGTACATAGCTGAGTGATTTACACTGCAGTGTTTCATTGCTATTGTGGATTATCTGAATTCTGAGGTCAACTAATAGGGTTTAATTAGCACAACTGAAATAGGAAAACACTTCAAGTTCAGTGACTTCTACCAGTGGCAACTTCGCAATGACTACTGAATTATTCATGTAATTTCAGCATTGAAGTTAATGAACAGTCTTCTACCCACAAATTTTGCTGCTTTCTTCTTTACTGATTGCAGAGGTAAAACCTGTTGAGCTCTTGGCAAGAGAACTGCTGAGAATATGATTATGGTTCAATGTAATTACTATGTATTCTTTCTTATGTTTGGGTTGAAACTGATTTTGTTAATTAAAAGTGATGTTTTGTACATGTCAGACCATTTTGTGTGTATTCTTCAGAAATTATTTTTGTAATCTGTAATCAACTGAAGATATCATTGGTTATTTTAATCACATAATTATTGTTAAAATATCTGAAAATAACAGTTGTGTTAGTAAAACACACAGTTATGATACGTTTCATCAGCTGGGCTTGTGAATGAATTGTTTTCAATTTTACAAATGAAGAAGTTTAGACAAAGAGGAGTTCAAGTCTCAAAAAGAAGTCTTCAGGTTCAAACACGTAAGTCCTGATTCCAGAGGATGTTGAGTAGGACATTTACTAGGCATAGCCAAGATGAAGAAAAATCTAGTATTTGGTGTCCCTTCTCAGAAGCTTTACGATAAATTCATTTGTTTAGCTTGTACTGTCTGTTAAAGACTGTTTCACTTTGCATTATTAATTAAATATTAACTGGAGGAAGAGTTGGAATATTGGTGATTATTATTGGCCTTCTTTCAAAATGTATTTTTGTTTTACAACTCAGTAGGTAAAATTATGTCAGTATAATCATGTAAGATTTCATTAGAACACTTATGATCAAATTTTTATTTGTGTGTATATGAGGGGGTAGCCATGTTCATATGTGAATGATTGAATTTTGCTGGTTTTCCTGCTTCTTATGTTGTTCATTATGTCTTTTGGCAGCGTCATTGATAAATCCACTTCCTAAAACTAGTTTTCAACGTAAAATACAAGACAAATTAGAAGTAATCTACTTAAGTAATCATAGAGCACCCTTGGGCAAATACATGATGCTATGTTACCTAAGGACTTGGATATACATAGTACTACATTTGGAACAAATACCATCCAAGGTAGGAAAATTCAGTGTTAAAACAATTTTCTTCTAAATACAAGATAATCTGCAATTTAATATATAGCATGTATTCTATGCTTCCAACAATTCCAGCTTAATAGAAAAACCTTTTTTTTTTTTTTTTTTTGTTATATAGCAGTTATTGATAGGAATAAAAATGTATTAGTGCTTTTTAGTTGTAACAAAGAAAAAAGCAACTGAGAACCTTTGGTAACTAGTAGAGCTTTTGGCTGTGTTCCAGATCTGTGTTTGGAGATTTCCCTGGGGAACCGTTTAGCCAGCTGACAACTTACCTTCCCAACTATTCTAATAGGTCTAATAAAAGATACTACCTTGACTTGCGAATCTTTCTTCTATAGGTGGGAGCAAATGTTGATCATGTAGCTTTCTTGCAACAATTACGTTCATCTCAGTTTCTGTGATTTTTATTTTTTTCCCTAGTCTCATGTCATTATGATATAAGATTCCTACAGGTTGACTAGAAATGTGGTAAGAAGTATCATTCTTCCACAGTATTAGCATATTCTATAACAATATAATGTTTAAAATTAAGAACAAAACAGACAAAACACCCATCTCCCTTACCTTCCCCAGCCATATATTTATTCCTTACTTTCCAGATGTGTCAGGTGGAGAGCTTATAAATCCACCAAAAACTTTTGAGGAAGTAGATAAAGAAGCTAGAGAAGGACATGATCTGTACATTGTGTCGCACAATGATTATGTGGGTAAGTTCAAAAGCTGATAAAAAAAGTTCTAACATAAATAAAGGTAATTTTTCCTCTTTGTGTGTTCAACACATACTGCTATTTTTGAGAGGTAAACTATTGCTACTTATTACTGTATTAATATAATATTAATTCCTTTTAAAAGTAATGATGTGAAGAAAATACTTGCAACTGAGAGAGCATGACCTGTTTCTATAAATGTAGATCAGTTTGTAGTGAGTGCATTAGACAGTATAGGAACTTAATGAAGGAGTTGGAAGCCTGATTTCTTTTGTGTGCTATTTGAAAAACAAAGTATTTCCAGGAAACTAGAAACTCATAGATGCCCTGGTTGCTTTCTGAGTTTGGCATTGTTTATGCCACTGAGAGCAATGTCAGATTTAAAGCCACAGCCCATTCCAGTACTTTCACCTTGGGTTCCTCTCTTGTCAAGACCTGAACAGAATTTCAGGGTGGCTGGACTTCTCGATGGGGAGCTCAGCATCAAGCTCTGGTTACAAGGAATTTCAGGTTGCTGGCTGGCTCTCTGGAATGCAGATTCCTCAGCCTATAGCAACTTCCTGTGAGTCTGTCCCATGGCTTCTTTTTCTGCCCTTCAGGTGGGCTGTCTGTCCACTGCTTCAGCCTCTGGGGGCTGTACCTGTGTGAAGTAGTCTGCTCAGGGCTGGTTACTCTTGTTTCTTGTTTGTGAACAAGTAGGTAGTGTCTTCTTTGCAGTGAAATCAATAGCAAATTTTCCATTGAAGTCAACATAGCAAGAATATATGTGAAAGAGAAGCACCTGAAAACCACTTTGTTTCCTTTTAGCATTTTTTTTTTTTTTTAACAAATCACAAATTAAACAGTACATGTCTCTGCTCAGCTATGGACATTATCAGAATGATTTGTTTTCATGACCCTTACTACTTAGACTACCTGGTATTTTTTCATTAATTCTGTTGAGCTTGCCTTCATTCAGACATAAAAGTACATCCAACTATTTTACCACTGAAGCAGTTTTTGCTTTTTATTTTGGTTTTTATCTTCACTTGTAGCAGTGAGATTATTCATAACTACTTAATAAACACAAGGAATGCAGATTACTTATTTTTCATTGAACAGAATTGTTAATTAGTTATTTGCTTGTGTTTCCTTATTGTTTCTGTTCTTTATTGCTCCTGTTCTTTATTGTTCTTAAGAACGAAGAGACTTAGTACATTTTTCTGCCCAGAAGTACAGGTTGAAATGCTTTCTTTTTCCACAGGAGAAGCAGTAAATAAGAAGTATGACTGTCCAAACTTCAGCAAGTCTTTTGTTTATGGAATAAAACTCCCTTACTTTAAGGATAGGCGGTATGTATCCAAATCCTTAAATTGGCACTCTGCTCCAGAATTGTAGGTTGCAGTGAGTTAACTAGTTAAATTGTGGTGTGAGTTCTCAAGAGGAGCGAGTCTTCATATGTGATGATAATCTTACATCTCAGAATCCTGTCCATAACTATACTGAACAGAATAGAAATTGCAAGGAATAGTTTTCAGAATAGTTTGTCCAAAACAGTTCTACCATAGTGTTACACTTTATGTCTTTAGCATTACATAAGGACACTTTTGATTTTAAATTAGAAGGTTTTTCAGTTACTAGATTAGTGATTGTCTTGCAAAGGTGTTGCTGTTTCCTTCTAACATATAATATTTTTAGTATTATTGAAAAATTGTTGAGTATTGTTAAACAAATACTTGTGAGAGTTAGTGTTATAATTTGTAGGAAGACAGCAGAAAAAAATAATATCAAAACAAAGTCATGATTTCCAATAAAAAATTTCAACCTCAGCTTCAAAAAGTCCATGTGTAAGCAAAACTGAGAAGAAAATTCACTCATGTTTACCAAGTCACAAGTATCTCTTTCTGTCTTGGTTAAAAATGATAACTGTGCTATCAGTACTTCCACTGCACCACTCAGTTGCAAGAAGGGACTTCCTGCTTGCCCTTATTAGGCTGATAAGTTGTCAAGTTACTCATGAGGGCTGTATTGTGTCTATGTGGTGGAGTATTACTGTTGAAATGGTCTGTATCTGAATTGATCAAATTTACATGTAACAAATTACAAGCACACTTTATTTCTCCTGTCTTTTGTAGTTAGAAAGGTTTGAAAGAACTGAAATGTTTCACCTACTTGAGGATTTGACCGTCTTCCTTACTCTTACACTACTTTTGGTCATCTTTGTTACATCACCTATATTCTTACTTTATTACTTCCTTGGAAAAGGACATGTAACTAACTTGTGTTGATATCTAACATCATGTCTCAATCTCAGTCATATCATTGCAATGCCTCATAAAACCTCAGGTAATCAAGAACAGCTTTTTAGTTTTATAGAACAGTGCTTATGAAAGGCTACAGTAGTCCTATGGCACTGTGTGATCAGGACCCAGCTGTGCCACAAATCTGGAGTTCCTAAACGTATGCAAAAACTGTCTTTGCAGATGCTCTAGATTTCTGCAAAATCATACCTGAAGACTCACAAACAACATTACTGACTTTGTAGCAAAATTTAATTTTAAGCTCAAGATCACAGGCTTAAGTGACTCTGGAGGACATGCCCATGGTACCTGGTAAGGAGTGAACACAAATGTCAGCCAGTCCAGCGTAACGTGAAGTAGACCTGGAGTAAGAGCAACATGAGGCTGTATGGTCAGTCAGTCAGGGAATATGTCTTGCAGTGCAGGCTTAAACCCAGCACTAATATTACAAGACAGGTACAAGCTAACATAATTTTATTTAGTGAATTTTTCACCATCCACATCCTATGTGTAACATGAAGATGAGTAGAGCACACAGTGCTTCTATCTCTGTGTGGTTTTGTTTTTTTTTTTTGTGTGTGTTTGTCTTTTATTTTAGAACAAAGCACTGATTCTGTTTTCAATTTTGATGAAGATTTCTGATTCATGTGACAGTTTTAATTATTAAACATAGAGATAAAATGAATATTGCATCTTCTTCCAATTAATAGACAAGCAGATCTTTAATGTCGCCAACAGCATCTTAATTTTCTGGTAAATAAAACTGGGCCAAGTTTTCCAGATGGATATTGGCTAGTTTTCTGGTTTTGGTAGACATGAAATTGCATGTGGAAAAAGTGGAGATGTGATTCCACTTTAGCCAAAAGTAGTTTATTTGGAGACATTATTTCAAATTGGAGATCTGGTTTGTCCTAAATATTCCTGTAATTTTACTAGTATGTTACAAGACTTTTCTCACTCATTTCTGTCATCTTAGGAAAAAAAAAAAAAAGCATAGAATGTTTTTCCTTTTAATGAGTATAATGTTCAAAAGGTAAATGTTTACATTTGGTTCTGTTGTATTGCAAACAGCAAATGTTCCAAACAGGTTTATAAAGTGATGCTTTTCTGGAATAGCAACTTCAAAGCAAAGTACTCATAAGCAAATTTCAGGTGAACTATGTGTATCATCCCTTATTACATAACAGATGATCCAATTATTTTTTTTAATAATAGCACAGAGTTTATTTTAGCTATTAAACTATTTGAAAATTAACAAAGAAATGTGCTTGTTGACAGTATAGCAGAAACTAAGAATGTTCCCCCAGACCATACATTTGGAGTGTCACTCTGTCCATATAAATATGGTAAGTTCAGGGGCAGAATAAAATATTATCATGTTGAAACTGTGCCAAATTAATTACTGTTGGTTGTATAATATAAAATTTTCCTAAAATCTTGGAGGCAAGATACAGAAATTTAACAGTAATAGTAAATTTTTGGAGGTAAAATTTGAGGTGAAGTTGCTAGTGGGGAAAAAAATTAGAGAAACAGCAGAAAACTCACATTGACATCTAAGTGGCAAAGTGAAAATGGTTATTTAAAACAGTGATGTGTCTTTCTTCTCAATGATTTTTCCTGCACTTCTATAAAAAGAGAAAAAAATAACTAGCAGTAAATAAGAACATGTTTTTGAAGGTAGCAGAAAGACAGAAAGTGGAAATTAAAATAAAAAAACTTATAATTGTGACAAAACTTTGCAAGTTAGTCAACTCAAATAATATTGGGGTTGACAGTGTTTTAACATTACGTTTCATAACTAGAGAACACAGTGAATAGATAGGCAGCAAAAAAGGTAAGTGGCTCAAAGTTATTTAATAAGTCAAGACCAGAGAAGGCTTGTTCAAATTCTGCATTAAGCATTCATACACGCTTTACTGTGTAGTGTAGTAAAGTTAAATATTTTAAGTGTGCAGGTATGCTTGTCCTATAAGGAACAGCAGAAGAACTGAACAAAAAAATTCATTATTAACAAATGGAAAATAATGCATGTACATTTCTGTTAGAAGGAGGTTAGATGAGCTGCTGACATTTATTGTACTCTAAATGAACTTCTACTCCAGAAAGTGATCTTTGTGCTCGGGGACTTGGATGAGGACTGTAGCTCAGAGTGCCAAAGTGTTTAAAAATAATAATAAACTTAGAATATGTAGAAAATGGGAAGAGTAACACAAAAATAGTAGATTGTATAGAAATAAATGGTATATAGTTATCTGAAATATTACATTGACGTTCACATTGTTTCTTGTAAGAACCATTACAACAGACTGGAAGTGATGGATCAATTATACATGTTCTTTTGATCTCAACTATTTGGACATTGAGTAACTCTTACTGCTGTCAGAAGCTTTTGGAATCAATATCACCAGGGTGCTCCCCAACCTGGTGCGCCCGACAGACTACTACCCGCTGCTGGTCTTCCAGACGGGTGAAGGGGAAGTTGCTTCCCGCAGTCTGAGGGAGATGAAGAAAGACTACAGGGCCTTGGGGCGGATGGTGAAAGACTCTGGGGCTCAGGTGATCTTCTCTTCGCTCCTTCCATCTTCTGTTGATGATGTGGGACTGAATGGGAAAATGCAGTCCATAAACGATTGGCTTCGAGGCTGGTGCTCCAGGCAGGGCTTTGGATTCTTTGATAACGGCTGGTTTTATAGGGCACCCGGCCTGGACATTGGCATGTGGGAAAGGTTTATCGCACAGAGGTAAAAGGATGCTGGGGCAACGAATTAGCGGGGCTCATTTGGAGAGCTTTAAACTAGATTTGAAGGGGGATGGGGTTGTAGCTGGGCTTGCCTCAGTGGGACAGCGCTCCGGAATTGATGAAGACTGGGAGGCCTCCTGTAATCCTAGGGTGAAATCGGTGTGCTTGGCTCGCTCCCTGAAATGTCTGTACGCCAATGCGCACAGCATGGGATATAAGCAGGAGGAGCTGGAAACCTGTGTTAAGTCGGGAGATTATGATCTGGTGGCAACTACAGAGACGTGGTGGGACAGCTCACATGACTGGAATATAGTCATGGAGTGCTATGTCCTTTTCAGAAAAGACAGGCCAGCCAGGCGGGGTGGTGGGGTTGCTCTTTATGTGCGAGAGCAGCTACAATGCGTTGAGTTCTGTCCGGGGACAGATGATGAGCGAGTCGAGAGTCTGTGGGTGAGAATTAAGGGGCAGGCTGGCAGGGGCGATACTGTTGTGGGGGTCTGTTACAGGCCACCGGATCAGGGTGAGGAAGTTGACGAGGCCTTCTACAGGCAGCTGACAGCGGCCTCACAGTCACAGGCCGTGGTCGTCGTGGGGGATTTTAACTTCCCTGATGTTTGCTGGAAGGACTACTCGGCAACCCAGCCGAAGTCCAGGAGGTTCCTCCAGTGTATGGATGATAACTTCCTCATGCAAATGGTGGATGAGCCAACCAGGAGAGGTGTGCTGCTGGATCTCATCCTCACTAACAAGGAGGGTCTGGTTGAAGGAGTGAAGGTTGAGGGCTGCCTTGGTTGCAGCGACCACGAGATGGTAGAATTCAGGATCTTGTGTGGTAGGGTCAGTAGAATAGCAAGTAGAATCGCAACCCTAGACTTTAGAAGGGCAAACTTTGGCCTCTTCAAGCGATTGCTAGGGGAAATCCAGTGGGCTAGGCTGCTTGAAGGGAAAGGGGCCCAAGATAGTTGGTTGACGTTCAAGGACTGCTTTTTCCGAGCTCAAGATCGGAGCATCCCGACACGTAGGAAGTCAAGGAAGAGGGTCAGGAGACCTGCGTGGCTAAATAGGGAATTGCTCGGTATGCTCAAGTGGAAGAGGAGAGTTTACAGCTCATGGAAGGAAGGGCTGGCCACTTGGGAAGAATATAAGGCTGCTGCTAGAGGATGTAGGAAAGCTGCTAGGATGGCTAAGGCCTCCTTGGAATTAAAGCTGGCGAGAGGGGTCAAGGACAGCAGAAAGAGCTTTTTCAAATACATGGCAGGTAAAACTAACACCAGAGGCAATGTAGGCCCGCTGATGAACGGGACGGGTGCCCTGGTGACAGAAGATACAGATGGCAGAGTTACTGAATGACTTCTTTGTCTCTGTCTACTCTGCCGGAGGCAGTCCTGAAGAGCCCTGTACCGCTGAGACCCCGGATGAAGATAGGTCAACGGAGCGGTCTGCCTTAGTCGATGAGGAATGGGTTAAAGACCAGTTGAGCAATCTGGATATCCATAAATCCATGGGTCCAGATGGGATGCACCCACGGGTGCTGAGGGAACTGGCGGAGGTCATTGCTAGACCGCTCTCCATCATCTTTACCAAGTCTTGGGAAACGGGAGAGGTGCCTGAGGACTGGAGGAAAGCAAATGTCACTCCTGTCTTCAAAAAGGGCAAGAAGGAGGACCCGGGTAACTATAGACCGGTTAGCCTCACCTCCATTCCTGGGAAAGTGATGGAACACCTTGTCCTTGGTGCCATCTTAAGGCATATCAAGGATAAGAGGGTTATGAGGGGCAGTCAACATGGCTTCACCAAGGGGAAGTCATGCTTGACCAATCTTGTAGCCTTTTATGAGGAAATAACACGGTGGATGGATGATGGCAGAGCGGTGGATGTGGTCTACCTCGACTTCAGCAAAGCGTTTGACACGGTCTCCCACAGCATCCTTGCGGCTAAATTGAGGAAGTGTGGTCTGGATGATCGAGTAGTGAGGTGGACTGTGAACTGGCTGAAGGAGAGAAGCCAGAGAGTTGTAGTCTATGGGGCAGAGTCTAGTTGGAGGCCTGTATCTAGTGGAGTGCCTCAAGGGTCGGTACTGGGACCAGTATTATTTAATATATTCATCAACTATTTAGATGAGGGAATTGAGTGTACTATCAGCAAGTTTGCTGATGACACTAAGCTGGGAGGGGTGGCCGACACGCCAGAAGGCTGTGCTGCCATCCAGAGGGACCTGGACAGGCTGGAGAGCTGGGCGGGGAATAACTTGATGAAATATAACAAGGGAAAGTGTAGAGTCCTGCATCTGGGCAGGAACAACCCCAGGTTCCAGTATAGGCTAGGGAGGGAACGACCTGTTCAAGAGCAGTGTAGGGGAGAGGGACCTGGGGGTCCTAGTGGACGACAGGATGACCATGAGCCGACACTGTGCCCTTGTGGCCAAGAAGGCCAATGGAATCCTGGGGTGTATTGAAAGGGGAGTGGTTAGTAGGTCGGGAGAGGTCCTCCTTCCCCTCTACTCTGCCCTGGTGAGACCGCATCTGGAATATTGTGGTGTCCAGTTCTGGGCCCCTCAGTTTAGGAAGGACAGGGACCTGCTGGAGAGAGTCCAGCGCAGGGCAACTAAGATGATTAAGGGAGTGGAGCATCTCCCTTATGAGGAAAGACTGAGGGAGCTGGGTCTCTATAGTTTGGAGAAGAGGAGATTAAGGGGTGACCTTATTAGTGTATATAAATATATAAAGGGGGAGTGTCACGAGGATGGAGCCAGGCTCTTCTCAGTGGCAAACAATGAAAGGACAAGGGGTAATGGGTACAAATTGGAGCACAAGAGGTTCCACTTAAACCTGAGAAGAAACTTCTTCTCAGTGAGGGTGACGGAACACTGGAACAGGCTGCCCAGGGAGGTTGTGGAATCTCCTTCTTTGGAGACATTCAAAACCCGCCTGGACACGTTCCTGTGTAACCTTATCTAGGTGTTCCTGCTCTGGCAGGGGGATTGGACTAGATGATCTTTTGAGGTCCCTTCCAATCTCTAACATCCTGTGATACTGTGATACTGTGAATCAGTGGATGGATTTGTGAAGCTATATTAAGATATTTCAAAAGCTTTGATATCTAATGCATATGAGTAGAGAAATCATCATATGGACTGTTTGATCTTTTAATGAAATGTATCAGATGTTTAGCAGTGCTTAAAATCAGCATCCTGAAACTGAAATTTTCCTTTTGAAAAATGTCCGTTTTCTGTATATGCACAACTAATCGAGGAAGTATTCATTTTTATAGGAGTTGCAGAAGTTCACCATGGGGTTCCATGTGAGATCCTCCATGGCAGAGACAAAGGGAGAAGTCTTTTGACTAAAGTTCAGCAGAGTCTGAAGAAAGCTAACTATGAGAATTTTGACATACTACCAGAAGCATTCAGGCATTATGATAAGATTAGTGCTTTGAAGAAGCATAAATGTAAAAGAATGTGTGGCACAGCGATCTGTGCTATGGAGATACAGACATGAAGAAACACAAGCATGGCAAGGCAAGTATAGATGAAGACTATAAAGACAAGGTAGCTTAATAGTTATCCTATATTCAGTCTACTATGATATGCTATGGAATTAAACCCAACAGTATTTCCAGCCTTGCAGGTATATCGAAGTTAGCAGCAAGCAAGGGACATGTGAGCAGGAATAATCTTAGCATTTGTTGCTCTTCAGAATTTGGTATTTCTTCTTAAAAGAAAAACAGTTGAAGGGATTATATTAATATTTTCTTCCAAGCTGTACTTTTTGACTGAGTCTCCAAGCAGCAGAATTTCAGATATTTTTTTCTCTCTGGAAGAAAGCTTGTAACTGACATTTCATATACAACATAAATTGGAATGTATGCAGAATGATTGATACCTTACTTTGAAAAGAAATCTTTGCTTTGCCTCAACATTCATAATCAGATTGTTACCTTGTCATAATACTCTGTCACACTCTTTTACTCTCAAATCATTGTATTAAGTTGAAAATTATTTTTTGACACTTAATTTCTAAATTACTAAGGATTTATTTTTTATTCAGCAGATTTGCTCTTTTGAAATAATGTGTCTGGTGCTGTATTTATGTATATATATGTAAACACGAATGTGTATGTGTTCCTTTTGATGGAGCCATTTTATAATGGCTGTTGTAACAACTGTTTTATTTATAATAGAATTGTGACGGAATGATAGACAAAGACAACCTATGAAACTACTGTTTTCAGCTTATTTTGAATCTAGATGATGAGCTCCTGGATTCATTATTTGACTGTTGTGATTTGGATAAAGATGGCCTGGTTAATTATTTGGAGTTCACAAACTTTCTGAACTGGAAAAACAAAGCAGCTGTTAAAGAGTTTGAAGAAAAAATAATTACAAAAGGTAGACGACTAAGTACAGGGAAATCATTGTGATGATCTTGTTCTCATAATAGCTATTGAAAGGACATTGCTATTGTTGACTAGGTGCTTCTTCAGAAGAGTAAGATTTAGAGAGTGCCTACCTCTGACAGAATCTCAGATTACAGAAAGTTTTTCAGGACCCTGGAGTTCTGTGTTGCATGTTGAGTATGTCGCATAAATCAGGAGAAGGTAAAAATTCTCTTAGAATATTTATCAGAAATGCAGATTAATTATCTTACCTACTTTATAGTTTTTCAAGGATTTAAGCAATGGTTTTTACCTCTTAGTCTATAATGTGCTGATAGTAAATCTTGGCTGTACCATAACTTTTGCTTATAGCAGAAAAAATGGATGCTCTTTTTCTGCCTGAAGACATAAAGGAGCTGAAGCAGGAAATCTTGTGTTAAAAAAACCTGGAAAGCTTGGAAAAGATACCAGAAATACTTACAAGACCAACAGATCATGTATCGCAAATTATCAAACAACTTCTTCTCATTACAGTGCTGTAGTAGGTGGTCTTCCAACAACCTGTAAGTACAGTGAATATACTTCTCACTTCTGAGCATTATTTAAGACAAAGTCAGCAACAAGTTGAAAAAATATTGCTACAGGTTCTACTAACATACAGGAGTGATTTAATTTATGTAAACTAAGTTTGTTTAGGATTGTGGCTTGGAAGTTGCATGACTTGGATGTTTTGCATTGTTAATCAATTGAAAATGTGACAGTTAATCTAGATGTCTTTGAGAGATTAAGCTAGTAACTTTAGAAGAGCAATATCATGTTGGAATCACCTAAAAATGTTTTTATCTGGAAGTTCTGGGTAAGTTCTAGAATATTACTGCAAGATATCCTGCTGTCATGCTTCATGATGTACCTGAAGCTAGAAATTCTAAAAATATGAAAAAAAGATGAAGAAGAAAATGATGAGATTCATTATTGAACCTACATGTGACAAATTTGTTCTTATTTAATACAAAATGTTTTTTTCCTCCCTGGCACTGTCTTTACATAACAGGCTTTTCCATGCTGCCTGTTGATTGATTTCCATAGGTTGTCCTGTGCGTGGTGTTCCAAGTATTCATTCAGCTCTTCCTCGAATTCACTGCCTCAGTGACAGAACTAATTACGGTGATGACACCAGTGCTTATGCATTATTATTCCCTTCTGTCTTTCGTCAAAAGAGAGCGTATGAAAAAGACTTTTTTCAAAACAAGACCAAAGGCAGAGGTACAGTGCTTTTTTTCAGAATACTCTGAAGAATGGGGCCTAGAAAGATGGTGGAGAGGGACTCTTCATCAGGGACTGTACTGATAGGACAAGGCGTAACAGGTTAAAAATTAAACAGAGGAAGTTTAGATTGGATATAAGGAAGAAGTTCTTTACTGTGAGGGTGGTGAGGAGCTGCAATATGTTGCCTAAAGAAGTGGTAAATGCTCCATCCCTGGTGGTGTTCAAGGCCAGGTTGGACAGAGCCTTGGGTGACATGGTTTAGTGTGAGGTGTCCCTGCCCATGGCAGGGGGAGTAAAACTAAATGATCTTAAGGTCCTTTCCAACCCAAACCATTCTATGATTGTGTGATTGTTCCAAGATAAATATATCTCTAGCCATGTGGGAGTGGAAAGTCATGCTATCAAATAAACAGTTTGTAAAATTCACTGATGCAACATTGCCATCTTTCTTTGCATCCATTCAGCTATCTGATAAATATATGCTCTTCTCATTCAAAATTATTCATAAATGTGGTAGATACTAATTTTATTGAAATCCAACTTCAATAAGTAATATAAGGAAGTACATCAGGGTGTTGCTACTAATATGCTCAAATGCTGTGTTGAATGAGGGTTGGTAATTAGTCTAGGCTTAAGAGTCTGTGACTTACATTTCTGCAATCTGACAAGAGCCAAAGCAGTTGTGGAATTTCCATCCTTGCATATATTAAAATTTCTGAGCCAGGTCTTAAGCAACATGGTTTAATGGTAAATGGTAAAGTTAGCTCTGCTTTGATTACGTGGTTGGATGGATGGATATCTCCAAAGATCTCTTCTAACCTAAGTTATTTTATGATTCTCTGTCTTAAAAAAGCCCATAAGATTTTTAAGGTGTGTAAAACTAGTTTCTGTCACAGAGGGGTATTCAGTGGAAAATTTTACCCAAGGTGCCTCTCCTCAAGCATGCAGGTTTTGCTTACGGCAAATTCAGCAAACTGTATGTTTTAAGTGCTTTGGTGAGTCTTGGTCATAGGCTCAGATCTACAAAGGGCTTTTACCAGTGGTAGAGGATGTAGGGAGTCACGCCCCAGCGCTGTGTCCTCTCCTATTTCTGAAGAGAAAGATAGGATGTGGGGACTCTGCGATTTCTCTATCTGATATCTCTGGGTGCTTCTACCACGCTGTTATTTCACAGTCCAAATGCTGTGAACCCTAAAAAAATGCTGAAACAACTTTGCTGCTTTCTCAGTGTTGTTTATTCTTTTGCATCTACATTTTTATGCATTTTCTTGTGAAAAAATATTGGGAGGACTTCATCACCTGAAATACAGTTTATGAGACAGTTGTAACAAAATGTGAAATTTCAATCTAAAGTGAGAAAAGAAGCCTTGACAACATCTTTCTCTCTATTAGTCATTATATTAAATAGTCACATTTGAAAGTGGATTTGGAAATTGAGTATGCATTTTACAGAAAAGCATGTTGCTAGTTAGTGGCTGGAGATGTAAAAGGTGTGGTGTCATGTTCTATATGTATCCATAAAATGGCTTGTCAGAGTGTTGTATACCTGAACATTTACCATTTTATAGTCTAGCTCTGAAGTGGGAAATCTGTGCATGAAGAATATAGCTAACAGTAAATAGAATTCATGCTTCATCGAGAAGCCCATTATGCCTGTCAAGCACTAGATAAAACTCTTCTCTGAAGTTATAATGTTGCCTGAGATGTCATACTCCTATGTAGACTGTATGGGCTGTGCAGAATTCAGTACAGAACCACCTGTAAGTGTGTTAAATCACCCTATACTCATGTTTCAGTATTTGAATGATGGTCTTTATTTTGAGATGGAGCATTAATACTTTCAAACGTAGTAGGTAATGAAATTATTATATGAAAGCCTAGAGTCATTTAGTACTGCTGGATTCATTTCTAAGAAATTAATGCAAATTCTCAGTATAAAGCAGTTTCATGAGGTGACTCTTTGTGTTACAGAAGTACAAAATAGTTCTAGAGCCTGTTTTTTACTGGAATTTGTCCCAGTCTACTGAAGAGAACTGAGTAGTGTGTAATTTATATCCAATAAGATCATGTTAATAGTAGGTAAGGGTCAGTTTAACCCCATCTGTAAGTCTGGTTTAGTCAGTGATTATTTTATGGCTGTTGATGAGTCAGGGCAGGGCTTTATTTTAATGTGGTGAATCCAAGTTATAAGAGCACGTAGTCCTTTATTTCCTTGGAGTGATAGCCTGTAATGGAATATTACTTTAGTTTGACTTCTAAATCTCACTAGCTTGTTGACGACATTAGATCAAATCTGGTTTGTTTTCCTCATGAGTAATGTTACTGATTTAACTGAAACAACACCTATGCCTAAGGAAACAAAATTTAGTTCATGTTTTCCTCTTGTAATTTCAGCTGGCATAAACTGTCATAGATTTATTGGCTAAACTGAAGCTGTAGATTTGCTGTACTGTGAATCAGGCCTGTGTTTATACAAAAGACAGTTTTAGAGAAAGGTGAAAACAAGGTTGATTTGACTGTGTTAAAGGTCTTTACCAAAGCATGCATAAAATCTCCAGAGCACTAAGGTAACACACATGCACACAAATGATACAGATGGAGAAGCCAGACGTTTGCTTATACTAACAAAAGTGCAAGGTATGGCAATATTCTTCTGAAGCCACTTCCTCTAATGAGTCAACAGGTCAGTGTGTGGGACATGCAGCAGGAAGCATCCAAGTGAAAAAATACAGAAAAAACCCAACCTCTGCTGAATTGCTTTGGTGTAAAATTATAGCAAGACCTAAAGTTGATGTGAACCATTTCACTGTAGTTGCTCAACCCACTTCTCTGAAGATCTTGTGTATAGTACTCTTACTGTTAAATACAGGAAGTAATATAATCTGATGTATGCTGGTAACAGCGAACAGTAAAAATACAATGACTAAAAAGGACTTGACTTACAGCTTTTAAAAAGCATTTTTTCCCCTGAGTCTTCTGTGTTTGATTTTTCCAGTGTTGAAGTTGCATTAACATTACTTTATTAACTAAAGACAATTTTGTGCACCACAAAAAGCACCACAGCTTTCATCCCAATAAGATTCAGATTTCCTTAAATAGAAACTTTGGTTAATGAAGCAGGATGTGGTCTGTAGTTTTTATTTAAGAGTGGGAAAATATTCTTTGGCAGGTAGAGATTGCTGATTTATGTAAAAGCCAGACTTCATACAGTTGAAAGAAAATTCTGACCAGAATTACACAAATTCTATTATTTTGTAGATTGCAGGAATTCTATGCAACATTGGCATGAACATTTCAGATGAAAGGTTTGAGGAGATATGGAAGCAAGCCTCTATGAAACATCAGGAAGGTTTGTGTAGAAAGCATCAGGAACATACTGGATAAGATACATGCATCACACACAGAAATTGGTTGCTAATTCTAGTCTTTGGGCACTGCATTTCTTTAAATTGACATCACTTATAATTCTGATGCTGAGTACAATAAATATTTTCAATAAAGTGTTTACAGAACTTGAATTCGTTGTTTATTGTCCTGGAGAGAGGAGACAGCGTATTTTTAAATGGAATAAAAATGGAATGAAAATATTTATTTTACATCCTTTATTTTTTTTTTTTACAGCATTTCTGAGTCTAAATAATAATAATTTGACCATGGACACATTTTGTATTTTTGAATTTTTTTTTTCTCTTATAAACAAAATGACAGTTTTGAAAATACTGAAGATAAACCTTTTGAATAGACAAGACCTCTTAAAGATTCTGATCATAGAATGGCATCTTGCCTTCCTTCTAAGTTTCCATGATTTCTGGTCAATAAAATGGTAGCTAGCAGAGATCTGGTTTTGGGAAGTCGACAATTTGCAGGAAGTGCTATACAGTGAGATACTAAGGAAACTGCATAGTCATGGGTATCGGATCAGAATTGTTGTCACAAAATATACTCCATAAGAACCCCTACATTAAAAAGAGCTAAAATAAATGCCCAGTTGCGTAGCAGAGGGCTTATGTTCTTTATGCAAGCTTGTGGCTAGTAGGTAGTTGTAGTCAGCTTTCACAAACAGAATGGATATTTAGAGGTGTATGTGCACATCACATAAAAACACAGGCTAGGTAGTCAGAAAAGTTTGGAAGGGCTTTCAGAGAGCTAACCTGTGACCAGTGCAGTTTCTTGGTAACAAGGATCTTCATAAATTAAAAACACTTGATCGTTATGGAAATTTCAGTTAATATAAATGAAGTCTAGTAAGAATAAACAATGGTAAGTAAGTAATACTAAAATTTGCAACTGTGAATTGGGATGTTCAGTCTTCACCTGCAGTACTGAGCTTGCTATAAAACAAATGGAAATTGTTTAGTATTGACCGTGGGAATGATTACTTCTAGTCTTTTTCAAATTAATTGAAAAGAGAAATCCTTGCCAAGTTCAGTCTTAACATACAGGATTTCAGGAAGGAGATCACTTTGTCACCTATTAGTGCTTTAAATACCTTAGTAAGATTTTGAGGGTGTTTCCAGCCAAATGTTTTACCAAGTTCTACAATGTAAGTAAAGTTTCTATGTATCTTAAATACTGGGAATGTATGTGTAATGCCAGCTTACAATTTTGTTGTAATGCTTAACTCATGTGATTGTTAATATTCCTCTTTTGCCAGTGTTTAAGGAGCTTATAATTTACTAGCTTGTACAAGCCAGACCTTTTGGACATTGTTATTGTAGTATTAATATTAGCTGTTTTAGATTAAGTAGGAAGAGTTTGCTTTCTGTTATCTCCAGGGAGCAGGTAGTAGAAATGCTGCTTGGTGAAGGCAACTTCTTTCCTGCCATGAATGTTAAGTTCTGCACTATTGCCGTGCCTTTCTGTCCTTCTGGAACTGTGCATGCACGGAGAAGCATGCAGGAAGCAGGCTGTGACTGTCCCAAGTGGAATCATGACAGAAAGATGAATGTACTGTGAATTTCAGTTGAATTTATTATGGCAGAATTTCACTACCTCCAGTTAAATTCTTTAAAGTTCCTCTTCTGCTCATATAATGTAGGAGGAAAGAAACCTTTACCTTTGTTGTGGGGCACTTTAGAAATCATTGGACAAAGTTGCTTTAAAAATAATGTGTCATTTTGTCCTCAATAGAACATTTTAGATGAAAGCTGGAAATTCTGTGTACCCGTTTTTTGAATCTACTGTAAAGAGACCCATTTTCATTCTACATTCAGTATAATCTTTTCCTTTGTCAGGGAATAGGAATTAACGTTGTTCTGTGGCAAATTTATTTGCTAAATAAATCCTGAATTAAAAAAGACTGATAAATCATAGTTTAGCTTTTTTGCCAGTATGTTTCTAAACAAAGGCAAAAGGTTTCCTTTTGATCTTGGCTTTGAAATGAACTGGAAGTGGTGTTCACCTAAACTTACCTCTTCTGAAGCTTTAAAGGATTAATCACTGAACAGAGCTACTTGTAGGTGCTTGTTTTTCATCACAGTATACGTAGGAGGCCCCTGAGAGATATAATTGCTGTCACATGGATAGTTACTTCTGTAAAATTTTCCAGTCCTTTAGTTTTCCTTTTGCTAAATGCTTTGTGCAGGCAGAGTCTTTGTGCAGATTTTTGTATTTCATTTGTGTTTGACTTCCCAATGTGTGTGAATTCAGTGATGTGTTTATAGGCTTTAGAGCTGCAAGTTGTATTTTGTGATTTTTATGGTTCCCTTAATATATTCCAGTTGACAGAAAAGAAAAAGTTTGCTTTCTTCTTTCTTGCAGCATGATTGCCTTTATCTAGGTATGGAGTTGAGGTAACTGGGACAGCACACTACCTTTCACTAACTTGTGGGCCATATCCAAGTCAAAGTTTTCCAGAAAGGGTGAGCAACCAACCGTCACTATGACACAAAAGCCAAGACTTTGTGGACGAAACTAGTCAACAGCAAATCCTGTCATATTCTATTTTTGTCGTAGATGCTTCATAAAAATAGACACTGGATGAAAGACACAGCACATGCAGATATTTCTGCACTATTTCTCAATCTTTGTTTCACAGCAACAATTATTTCAAAGAATAGCATATATTTAATTGGTTCTGTTAAATGAATTGAACTCCTCTGAAGTTCATCTTAGAGCTGATGTATTTCAAGACAGACTGGGAGGTCTTTCTTTCTGCAGAGGTAGAGGGCAGCATTTTCTTCTCCCCCCAGAGCTGTGCCAGGGGTACTGCCTTTCGATGCTTGAAAACACCTGTTAAGGCTGAATATTTGAATATGCATAATTATTTCTTATTAATTTTCTATTTCTGGCTCTTAATCTTTATAATGTGAATATTAGTACTGATAAACATTCAGCTAATGTGACTTATTTGGCACTGACTTGTGCTATGTAGGGCAGATGTTGGACTCAGTTACTCTTCTTACAGTTGTCTAGTGGAAAAATTCATCTGTGCAATGACTTGTGTTTGTGATGCTGGAAGATCATCTTCTACAGAGATATGCGAACAAATAAATGTAGACCTTGCCTTCATATTATTATTACATAACTTTAAAATATGTCTTGTGGAGATTAAGTATCAGTAAGCAGAATTGCTGGTTTTCAGTGTTTTATCTGATTCAAGTAAATTTCCTGGTTCTGGAACTCAGAAGTTAATGGCCAGTTTTTCTTGGTTGGTTGGTTTGTTTTTTAAACAAATGTATGTAATTATTTGTGCACTAAATATAATGCTAATAACCCTTTATGCTAAGAATACTTCAGATGGCTGGCTGAGCAGAAAAGGAGGCACTGGGGCAACATGCCCAGAAGTATGATTTATGTCTTCATCATGCCAACAGATATGAATAGGTAGGATATCTTTGGAATGGCTTATCCAGCCTAATTAGTAGGTGTTTGCCATTAGGAGGTATTTCTTTGGAAACCAGTTACTTGCATTCGACAGTTTGTCGTTGGGCGCCATCTGCCTGCATGATTTCAACTTGCCGAGTGGCCAGATTGCTTTTCTGGCAGATGGGTATGAGTTTAGGCTTGCCAGAGCAGCGCTCAGTGCTGCATGTCTGAGTAGTTGGGATAGGATCAGTATTTCTTTATTCCTCTCGATATTAATTTTGAAAATGCCAACATAGATTATGCAAACCTGTAGGAAATGTTCTGGCATATTTGATGAGGATTAATCTTCAAAGGGAAAGGAGTCAAAGTAGTCTTTGTTGTGTTCAGATTTGCTAAGGTGGGTGCTTGTTGATTTCTGCCAAATATGTGTGGCCTGTCTGAGCAGACCGTAGTAGATAGAGAAGTTGTTCATCTTCAACCCACATTCCTGACTTCCAGATATCATAACCATGGAAAATTTATATTCCTTGGGATACAAGTATGTTCAGGTGTGCTGTGAAATTAGCAGATTAGGTGGTAAATTCTATAATACTTAAATAGTAAATCTTTGGTGTATTCTGCATGTTTTCAAAGCTCACTTCTCCTTACAGTGCCTAGATGGAAATGAAAATAGCAAACCTGAGACCTAATCTGAAAAAAAAGAGAAAGGCCTAAGTATCACTAACAGATTATTGTATCTTTAATAATAGCGATCATACATTCTACATCCTAAACAAATAATCTTGCATGTGGTGTATACTTGCTAGATAAGGTTCTACCACATAATCAGATCAAAAGCAGACAGAGTAGCTTAAGAGCACATATTTCAAGTAATAACTTTTCTATAAGCCTTGAATTTTTCTGCAGATTCTAGAAAATGTTAAGCATTTCTTTGAGGTGCAACAAAGAAGTGAAATAAGAGCAGAGGGGTTTTCAAATGGTACCAGTTAATCAGGGGCTGATTTTATTTCTCCAGCAGTTTTCAACAGATTAGAGACATATGCCATCCCATATGAATATTTTACTAAAAATGTGTCCCCACAAGTGAGTGACAAGGCTAAATGTGTAACAAAATTTAGGGCTGTTTTTTGCTAGTGAGCAATGAATGTAGCGTAAGAATGTAAAGCATATCCATAGAGGGTAGCCCAAGGGTTCTGTCCAGCCCAATGTCCCATCAACAGTGGTCAAACCCATGATTAAGGGCAGGTAGTAGATTGGGGCAAATGTTAACAATGTTCCTTCCTAGCAGTCTCCCAGTGGTTCCACCAGTCGAACTTCCAGTGGTTGTCACCTTCCTCTGAAAATTTTCTGACTCTGCAGCACATTTTCCAAGATGCAGCTAACATGGATTTAAATGTGGCAGATGGGAGCTTTCTCTCTGCTGTCAGTTTATTTCAGCTAATAACAGTATTAGGAATGATTACTGAATTTCAAACATGGAGGCAGGGGTAGTTTCAAAGAGGTCTTGTACAATTACAGGGTGGTTAACACAAAGTAAGGCACTGCTGAGTGCAGCAGCCTTGTGATACATAATTGTATGCTTAACAGGTAGTCCCCCATGACCTGTTTTGCTTTTATAAATACACAGAGTCAAGTGGATTTGATTCCAGTCATCATGTTGTTGTAAGAACAGAATTTGGTTCAGTTTATACAGCTGGACAGGCTA